CAGGCTGTGAACTTTGAGCTACATGCCCAGTATCTGTGAAAACATACCAACTGGAAAACCAGGCCCCCAGAAGGAAGAGCCCCAGGGCTCACACCTAGACTCTCTGTAGCCTAAAAGAATACCCTAATTATCTGTGTAACCAAATAGAATCATAAATTCTATTATGCTTATTGGGGTATGACCACAGGCCTATTAATTGTCCACTATTTACTACCTAGGCTTAAAGCATATGAATCACGGGTTAACTTTGATTGTATCTTTCTTTTCCTTTATTCAGACTGCTTTCAGGGACTTAGGGGAGGTGGATTTGGGCATGTACGCTTAGGGTGTATAAGGTTTTCATGAAAACTGGTCAGGGTCCTTGGCTATGAGGAGACTGCCGTGGCCCCGCTGGTGTAACAAACTGCAGTCCACTGTCTGCATTGTCCTTCTGAGTGAGTGTTTCCCGGAGCGCGCGGCTACAGCACCAGATGTGCTCTGGAGCCTTCTCTGGCCCCTGTAGGGAGAAGAAAAGTGACGGCCTTGAACAAACAGACTGCCAGGTATTTCTCCAGCAAAGATGGGGTTATTCGGGGTCAGCAGAGAAGTGCAGTTCAGGATCTGCCACCGTGGCGAGCCATGTGGAGTTCCTGTGCAGCGAGGGGGAGAGCGCGCTTCTCTGGAGAAGAGGGAGGTGGGGGCTGTGGAAGACAGCCTGTGGCTGTGTGCTGGCCGAGTCTCTGCCGGGAAAGGACAGATGTCCTCTTCCTCTCGGGCTCTGCCATTGTCGCAGGGCAGGAGAGATCCCATTCTGGCCTCCCAGGTCTATTTAAGGTTTCTGCTAATTAACTTTTTACACTGGGTAGTTCTGGCCCAGGATAGAATACTGCCAGGGCAGAGGGCACAGTTAAACAATCAAAATCAGTTCTCCTTTAAAAAGTTAACTTGTTTATTGTATAAAAGTCCCCATGAGAAAGGATCCTGGGTGGGGAATGCTTTGTCTCAGCTCTGTGAGGCAGAAAGCCTAGAGGTCAAGGGGGGGAGAGAACTTAGACTTCAAACCAATTCTCTTCCCTGCAGATCACAACTCCTGATGTTCATAATAAAATGACAAGAGATGAGTTACTGATGAGTCCTTGAGTGTAAAATGAATTTATGGACCTGCCTGTCTGATCAAGAATTAATGGACTGAATTTAACAGAAGGTTTTCTCTCCCCTCCACTTAGAGCTGGCAGGATTTTTATTGTATTATCTATCAGCCAGTGTAAGGAGCATGTGAGTAAAATAAATGTGCAAGTCTGTAATGAATGTGAAAATCTTATGCATTTAATTGAAGCAAGGTCACTGGCTTCTTCTGGAGAGTCTCAAGGTCACTTTTCCTGTATTACAATAGGTGGCCTGTAGAAATACCGGTGAACTATCAGTAGGCAGATGGTGATCGCTGAGATATTATCTAAAGTATAGAAATATTAATACATTTGACTTTTATCACAAACTGATTACTTGCTCATCTTCAATATATCTCATAAAACGCAACACCATTTTCCCCAGGCATCTTCATGAAACACACACAAGATGAAAAGAATTGGTGCATTTGCGGACATGCTGTGTATCGACCACATTATCCACACACAGTCTGGATACTCAGCCACTGGACACGGCAGCAGCATCTCCATTTTTCAAACCATAGAACAGAGACTTTAAGCAACTCACTGAATTAATACAGCTGGAAATTGTGGGGCTGAAATTTTCAGTCAATATTGTGAACTTCACAGCTCAGGGGCAGAGAGCAGCAGGTCTGGGGGGCCGAGTCACAGCCACACTGCATCACTTCTGCCAGTCAGCCCCACCCCCCACCCCTGGGCAAATATCCCCTGGCAGTATCTTCTGACTCTGGTCCAGGGCTCAGTACCTTATTGAGAATGGGCCAGTTTTTCCCAGGGTAAGTAAAGTCATATACTTGGAGCCAGAGATTAAGATAAAAAAATATTTACAGTTATCAGTCAACAAAAATGCCAGAAGAAACAGTTTTCTAATTGCAGAAAGCCACTCAGATGATTTTCTGAACATACTCAGATAATTCAAACAACAACTTTGTAGGGATGATGAGTACACTGTGATAAAGGACCACAGTCAGCTAACTTACACGAAAAAACAAGTCTTAAGCAGGTCGGACCCAAGGGTCAAGCTAGTGGGAGGCGGGCAGCAGTCGGGCAGCCCTTTTCAGGGGCCCAGCCTCTTTCTTCCTCCAGGCAACACTGCAGCCCACAGCTGTGTCTATATCCTGCACAACCGTTATCATTTCATATCTGGCTGACAATCCCAGTTCTTTCCAAGCTTTGAAGATACTTGCTTTTGACTCACTGCCCTGACTTACTTCCTCTTCAGCTTCTCAATCAGAAGTCAGCTCTTCCAGGTGCCATCTGTGTCCACAGTTTAACCTGTGCCACTGGGAGGAGGTAGTTGAGTGATGCGTCTAAAGAAAGTAGGTCAAAAGTAACATTTCCAAGGCCCTGGTCTGTGCGTACCAGGAGGCTACAGGAGCTCCCGAGGCCCTGGGCAAAGGGAGAATGAACAATCTCAAGAACAGGCTCTGTGGTCGTCCTGAGAGCAGTCACTGGGCCGTCCCTAACTCTCATCATATATCCACGGAAGAGATGTGGCCATCAATCATTACTTGATTTTTAAGGGCAACTTTTTGAAAGAAGCTACCTTGAAGTGCAATAACAACAGGGACGAGCAATGGACAAGAGCCGATTTAAATTAGTAAAGCTGAAAATTTTTAAATGGATATTTATTGAGTTCACAGGCAAGAACACACTGATCACACGTTTGCTGCTCCTTCCTGGAGTATCAGACTTCCTTCTCTGCCTAACTCACCTGAGTGAACGCTCCTTTTATCCTTCAAATCTTACTCTTGCACTACTGCGTTCCCTGGCCCTCCAGGCACTGGTTCACTCCCCCTGCCTGGCACACACTTTTCTCTTGAGATGTCTTCTGTCTGTTCACAGGCCTATCTCTGTCTTTGTCAATTTTGTATACCTGGGGCTTGGGTCACACAGCATAGGTGTTCAGTAACATTTGTTGAACTGAAGACTTCAAGAAAGTTGTTTTTGTTCAGTCGCTAAGTCCTGTCTGACTCTTTTCAACCCCAGGAACTGCAGCACTCAGGCTTCCCTGTCCTTCAGTATCACCCTGAGTTTGCTTAAACTTGTCCACTGAACCAGTGATGCCATCCAACCATCTCATCCTATGTCATCCCCTTCCTCTGCCCTCAATCTTTCCCAGCATCAGGGCCTTTTCCAGTGAGCCGGCTCTTCACATCAGGTGGCCAAAGTATTGAAGCTTCAGCATCAGTCCTTCCCATGAATATTCAGGACTGATTTCCTTTAGGATGGACTGGTTTGAAAATTAGGTAGATTAAAATTATTATTTGAAAAGGAAGGCTTGTCAATGGAGAGGACTTTTAAAGAAGTCCATTTGCTTACAGAACAAAATGTGAAATATTGGGTAGATTATAGTCTAAGAGGCCACCCTTATGGCAGAAAGTGAAGAACTAAAAAGCCTCTTGATGAAAATAAAAGAGGAGAGTGAAAAAGTTGGCTTAAAGCTCAACATTAAAAAAACTAACATCATGGCACTTGGTCCCATCACTTCATGGCAAATAGATGGGGAAACAGTGGAAACAGTGGCTGACTTTATTTTTCTGGGCTCCAAAACCACTTCAGATGGTGATTGTAGCCATGAAATTAAAAGACGCTTACTCCTTGGAAGTTATGACCAACCTAGACAGCATATTAAAAAGCAGAGACATTACTTTGTCAACAAAGGTCCGTCTAGTCAAGGCTATCATTTTTCCAGTAGTCATGTATGGATGTGAGAGTTGGACTATAAAGAAAGCTGAGTGACAAAGAACTGATGCTTTTGAACTGTGGTGTTGGAGAAGACTCTTGAGAGTCCCTTGCACTGCAAGGAGATCCAACCAGTCCATCCTAAAGGAGATCAGTCCTGGGTGGTCATTGGAGGGAGTGATGTTGAAGCTGAAACTCCAATATTTTGGCCACCTGACGTGAAGAGCTGACTCATTTGAAAAGACCCTGATGCTGGGAAAGATCGAGGGCAGGAGGAGAAGGAGACGACAGAGGATGAGGTGGTTGGATGGCATCACCGACTCAATGGACATGGGTTTGGGTGGACTCCGGGAGTTGGTGATGGACAGGGAGGCCTGGCGTGCTGCGGTTCATGGGGTCGCAAAGGGTCGGACATGACTGAGCGACCGAACTGATAGTCTAAGAGAAAAGTCTAAGACATTAGCGTTCCAATAAATTTCCCCTTGGGTCTCACTGCGTTAAGTACTGGACATCCCTCTGGTTACAGCGCCTGGGTGGAGGTGGGGAAACGTGCCCCCCCACAACTTGAGGGGGCCATGAAGGCGGCGGCGGGGTGCGGGCTCACCCCCTTTCCCCCTCTCTCTCTGCCGCACCCACCCCTCTTTTCCCTTGTGGACCCCAATGTCTTTCCAGCCAGGACAACAGTGTGTGAGTAGACCAGCCCATCCGCGTGCCTGGCTGGCCCCGAGTGTACCCCGCTCCCCGGGAAAGCCCCGGAAGACGGAGGGCTGGCCTGGGGCCGGGGGCTGGGGACCCGATGCCCAGCGCGCAGAACCTCCAGCGCCCACCACAGCACCAGACCCCCAGAACGGCTGCCAGGGGCGCAGGCGGGCTAGAGCCGGGCGGCACGCCCCCCACGCAGGCCCCGCCCCCAGGCCTCTCCGCGGGGCCCCGCCCCGGAAGTCCCTGTCCCTGCTTCTGCCCCCTGGGCCCACCCCGAGACTTCCGCCCAGCCCTCGCGTCCTCAGGAACATCCGGCAAACTGACGAGTCAGAAGAGCGCTTGGCTCTGGGCCCCACCCTCGGCACCGGGATTTGCGTCATCTCCCTGCGCCGCCGCCGGACATTCGGGCTCTGTAATGGCGGAGCTCGGCCGGGAGCTAAGGTGGTCGGCGGTGGCCGGGAATGAGCGATGACCCGGCTCCTGGGCGTGGTACACAGAGTGGCTTTGGCCATTGTGGGCTGCAGTAGCCCGAGCTGCCGCAGTCTTGCCATGTTCTATGCCGTGAGGAGGGGCCGCAAGGCCGGAGTCTTCCTGACCTGGTGAGCAAGCCGCACCGCCCCAAGTAGGTGTGGGCGGCTTCGCGGCGAGGGGGCGGCAGTCACCCCCCGGAGCCCGCGGCCCTCTCTTGGGGTAGGCGCGTGGGGGCCCTGACGTCGTCGGCCTCGGTTCCCCTTCGTGTTTGCTGGGAGTATCAGAAACGTCACTTACCGTCAGGGGGTGACCAGAGGCTTACTTCTATTTAATCCTTCCTGGGGGCTCAGACGGTAAAGCGTCTGCCTACAATGGGGGAGACCCGGGTTCAGTCCCTGGGTCGCGAAGATCTCCTGGAGAAGGAAATGGCAACCCACTCCAGTATTCTTGCCTGGAAAATTCCATGGACTGATAAGCCTGGTAGGCTGCAGTCCATGGGGTCATAAAGAGTCGGACACGACTGAGTGACAGCACTTCACTTCTTCCCTTCTTTTGCACGGAAAGAGTTTCCAAACGGTGACACATAATGGAGCTCAACGCCTAATGTCATCTTCTGCTTTTAAAAAGAGAAGTTCTTGTCAACTAGTGTTTATATCCCCATAACAATCCTGTGAGTTAGATGGGATTCTCATTTTTGCGTGCAGTTACTGTGTTACAGAAATTCAGGGGGCGAATAAGTGACAGATGTAGGTCATGACCCAGGTGTTACGGTTCCAGGACCAGGACTCTTCCCCCTGCATTATCGAGGTCTGTTACCTGTAGATGTGTTGTGAGTGCGCAGTGTTTCCCCCTGCGGCTATGCTTTGAGGAAGAGGCACCTCAGAAGCTGATCTTTATGTTGTAATGAAGTGATTAAAGACTCAAAAGTTCTAATATGCTTTGAGGAAGGCTACTTATGGTGTGAGTGTACTGTCTGGCTGGCACATAGCATGAAACAGGGTGAAGGGTTGGACATGCAAGTTGGATCACTGAGGCATGATCCTTTGCCATATAGTACAAACACTAAGGCATGATCCTTTGCTCCAAGGAGCTGACAGCCTCACCCTTTTTCACACTGTTCCCAACCTGAGAAAGTCGTCCATTAAAAAGTAGGGTAAATAACAGAGCAGGGAAGTCGGTAACACTGCCCTTTGTTTCAGGGATGAATGCAGAGCACAGGTGGACCGGTTTCCTGCAGCCAGATTTAAGAAGTTCGCCACAGAGGAGGAAGCCTGGGCCTTTGTCAGGTCTGCAAGCCCCAGTGATTCAGGAGGTACTCACAGCTCACATCTTTGTGACGTTTTAGCCTGTTGAATGGAGACGGCAATGGCAACCCACTCCAGTCCTCTTGCCTGGAAAATCCCATGGACGGAGGAGCCTGGTGGGCTGCAGTCCATGGGGTCGCTACGAGTCAGACACGACTAGGCGACTTCACTTTCACTTTTCACTTTCATGCATTGGAGAAGGAAATGGCAACCCACTCCAGTGTTCTTGCCCAGAGAATCCTAGGGACAGGGGAGCCTGGTGGACTGCCGCCTATGGGGTTGCACAGAGTCAGACAAGACTGAAGTGACTTAGCAGCAGCAGCAGCAGCAGCAGCAGCCTATTCAAAGCTTGTCAAAGCCCAGGATTCTCTTGATCTATATGTTGTGGTGGTTCAGTTGCTCAGTCTGCCACTCTTTGTGACTCCATGGACTGTAGCATGCCAGGCTTCTCTGTCCTCTGCTATGATCTCTATAGCTACTCTTCTAAATGCAGAGAGGAGATATTTTGGTCGTTTTCATTTTACAGATTAGGAAATGGGCTGAAAGCATTTTAGTTTAGGGACTGCTGTTGGTAACAGTGTTAGAGACAAGCCAGGCCTCAGACCCCCTATTTAGGCCCCTCACTGTGCTTAATCTCACCTTTAAGAATACGCACTCTTGTCTGTGGGTTGAATGGGCTTTAGTTGTAAAATGACGAATGTAGTTCTTTTCCCAGCATGCACCTCTGTGGCATTTCGTTTTTACCTTAGACGGAGTCCTGCAATTGGAACTTCCCCCAGTTCACGTGTTAGAAAGTAGTTAATTGACGTTTAAGAACTAACATAAGGGACACTGAAAGTGACTGCTTTAGAGCACAAAAGTTTAAACTATAACCTACCCTGAAGAAGTGTTTTTTATTTTTATGAACTTCACTCAGGCATTTTTTACGGCAGTGGATGAAGGCTGAGAGGAGAATATTTCAAATCAGACTTCTTTTGAGCAGTCTCTGGAGCTCACTGAGGTGCTCAAGCTTTGAACAAGTGCTCCTCTGGGCTGTTGTGACCATTTTGGGCAGAGCGGAGTTCAGGGAGAGGCAGGTCCTGCTGGGAATCTGCCCTGAAATGCAAGTTTCCGAAGTAGAGGAGACCCACCCTCCTGTGTGGCCGCCGCCTCCTCCATCTGCCAGCAGCCTTTCAACAAAGGTGTGATGTGACAGTTCCATTTTCTCCCCAGATGGGAAATCAGCTTGGCATAGAAAGCTAGTTTGGAAGTATCAGTCTTGTCTTGGCTGGGTCCTTTTTCTTTTTTTTAAGATTTATTTTTGGCTGTGCTGGGTCTTCCTTGATGCAAGGCCATGCTCTCTAGTTTCGGTAAGTGGGGATAACCCTTGGTTGTGGAGCACGGGTGCTAGGCGCGTGGGCTTCTGTAGTTGTGGTGCAGGGACTTAGCTGCCCCTTGGGCATGTGGGGTTTTCCCAGACCAGGGGTTGAACCTGTAACCCTTGTATTGGCAAGCAGACTCATAATCACTGGACCACTAGGGAAGTCCCCTAGAGGAATATTTTCAAGGTAAGTATGAGGAAATACAAGTACATCAGAGTGGAAATAACAGTGTTGCTCTGGAGGTAGTGGAAACTTCCCTCCAGTTCTGCCAGGCTGGCCTTAGCACTCCTCTGAGACGTGTGGGGCGAGAGGCTGCGCCAGGCAGGAGGCTTCAGCCGATGCCTGTCTAGTCAGTGCTCAGTAAATGCACTGGTTTAGGGGTTAGGGTAGGAAGTGCCCTCCAGTGTTGGGTTAAGGTGGTGGTTTTCAAGATCTCTGTGTTCTTATTTCTGCTCCATGAAAGGGAAGTGCAGGGAAAGCGGCTTCAGGTCACCGAGTGCCTCCTTGTACAGCAGCTGTGATGGGTGAAGTCATTTGACAGAGTTCACAGCTGATGAAGGGTAGAGCTCAGATCGAAACCAGTTGTTTGAATCCTGTTCTCATTCTTCTGCGTCAGCTGCCATAAGTACATGAAAGAGTTAAGCGAGCTATAGCCTGAGTGGGTATGAGTATGCCTTGAGGGTCACCCTCGGGTCCACTCTGGAGGGAGCGCTCGGCCAGTGCCGCCCCTGCCCCACGCGGTGCCCACCAGTGTTGTCCCCCCAGGCAGTGCCCACCCCCTCCCCCCCGTGCAGTGCCACCCGCCCCCCCTCCCCCCGTGCAGTGCCCACCAGTGCTGTCCCTGCAGGGCCCCAACCCTGATACCTTTTGGCTTCCACTTCCCTTTCTTAATACGTCCCATTGTCTGTTCTCAGCTTATGCACAAACACTGGGTCCTTGTTTTCTTTTGGGAAAGAGCCTCTCAGATTTTCAAACTCTGAGCCCTAGAGGGTTCAGCACCCATGGTATCTCTGCCGTCTGCATGGCGACCAGTGTTCTTCTTTAGCAGAAGCTTTGCTGTGGTCTTCACCCTGCCCTTGTGGAGCTTCTTAAGGAAAATTTAGAGTCACTTTCCAGGACATTAGTCTTTCCCTTTTTACAGAGCCCCACACAGGGTGTTTAAGCCTGACTTCGTGAATTTCTGGATTCTCCATCATTTCATGTTGTGTTGTTTCCAGTTTTTGAATAGACTCTTATCTTTCAGGGCAAAAAACTAAACACATAGAAGAACCACAAGTGAAAGCAAGCAAGCGACTCCATGAGCCCTTGGATGAGGGTGAAAAGGCAGAGCCGTGTGCAAAGCACGTGAGACAGAGCACAGAGCCACCACCTCCAGTTAGCAAAGACAGCTTTTCTTACATGGGTATGTCTGTCTGGAATTTTTAAAATTTTAGTAGTGTAATTATTTATGTGTAAAAACTTTTTCCACTTCATAAGGGAAATTTGAGCTGATGTGTAACATTCTTACCTGGAGAAGTTATTTAAAAATCTCTGAGATCACTATTTTATAATCGATCAAATGGTGCAGCATTTTTAGAATTTTAGACATTCACTGAAAACTATTATATAAGCTACACATAAAAAACTCTTGTGATCTTTGTAAACACCATTGTTCTCTATGGACACAGTATTTTTGGTCCCTAAGAAAATGGAAAGACTTCAGCTCTTCAGATAAGAAAGGCCCTGGACAGAGCTCCTTTATATGTTGACTGGCACCAATATCTTAACCATTTATGTGCCATCTTTGCAAAACAGACATGAGCCTGTCGTCTCCTATGAAGCAAGATAGTTGTGAATGTCTCCTGTGCCTTTAACTCTAGGAATCAAGTATTTGTATTTAGTGACTTACAGTACATGGGTCTCCTTTTTGTCTTTAACATGTTTAAATGAAAAACAGGAATAAGTAGCAATTTTTATATAAATCAGTGTATTTGGGGGTTCCAAGTTTACCAAAGAAGAAGCCATTTTAAAATTCAAAAGTGAAAAAAAAATAAAATTCAAAAGTGAAGTCGCTCAGTCATGTCCGACTCTTTGCGACCCCATGGACTGTAGCCTACCACGCTCCTCCGTCCATGGGATTTTCCAGGCAAGAGTACTATTCAAGGGAATTATAAATTCAAGGGAAACCAGTAAAAAAGTTTGGTCAGACCGCGTGGAAACTGTGTTTGAAGTTATGTGAAAAGCAGAATCAAATGGTTTAGATCAAGTGAGGCAGATACTTGTGGGGTGACTGGGAGATGAGTGTGCCCAGCACACCAGCAGGTGCCTGAAGCGTGAGGGTCCCCGACTCAGTGCCTGATGGGTCCTCACAGTGGGCACAGGGCTGAGGACCCGGGAGGCCGTCGTGCTGAGCGTCTCGTTCACTAGACGGTGGTCTCCAAGGCTGCCAGCCCCGCCCTCACGCCTCGCCTCCGCCCTGCTTGCCTTCACCTGTTGAGTCTGCCCTCCTCCGCCGCACGCTGCACAGACACAGCCTCCGCTACCCCGCACCCCTGCACCCCGGCGCCTGGTAGTCCGGGGCCCCCGCCCTGCTGAGTGCCCTGTTGGCCGTCGGCGGCCCGAGAGTCACTGCTGCTCTGCCTTGTTCTTTATACAGCGTGGGTGTGCTGATCAGACTCTGTTTTGGCGGAAAGAAGCAAACAGGACCACAGTTCACTGTAGCAAGAGGCCCAAGACAAAAGTTAGGTCCGCATCTGTCAAGAGGGCTTGCCCTTCAGGCAGGGAGGACGTCATCACCGTCACGGCACTGGCGTCCGCAGGGACGGCTTCTGGGGTAAACGCACCCCCGGCCCCTGTGGCGAGGGGCGGTGGCACTGCTGGTTGGCCTCTGAAGCAGGCATTGGAAACAGCAGCAGGTTCTGGGTTTACAGAGCGATCGCTTTCACTTGAACTTGCCCAGCAGGCAGGACTGAAATATGAGTGGATTCCAAGCAGGAAGTGTCAGGTGCCCCCGTGCGGCATTAGTAATGTTCTCCTGCACAGAAAACTTCCGAAGCATAAATACCCTCTTGAAGTAGAATGCTAACTCAATTGTAGTAAATCTTTTAGATGAATTCCAGTTTTTCATAACGCTGATCCTTGACGCACACTCGGTCTCTCACTCACAGGGGACTCTGTGGTCGTCTACACCGACGGCTGCTGCTCCAGTAACGGGCGCAAGAGGGCCCGAGCAGGAATCGGCGTTTACTGGGGGCCAGGCCATCCTCTGTAAGTAAGCCAGAAAAGCGGCTTTTATTAAGCTTCACAGTTAACTGAGTCATGCTTCAAAACCTGGGAAAGGATGAGGCAGCGTCTGCCGCTGTTGGATTATTTGGAGGCGTTGGCAGGGCTAGCAGGAGGCTCCCGAGCCCCTGGGAAGCGGTTTTCGCAAGGATGCACCAGGGGCGGGCCACCAGATCGGGACCCTGTGCCCCCGCCACTCTTGAAGATGAGTGAGCTTAGAGGTGACCCGTGGTTTTCGAAAGGCAGAGAGTCAGGGTGAGGGGAAGTGAGATTGTTCACATACGCCTGCCCCAAGTGCGGAAGAACTTGAGTAACTGATGGCCCAGAATTCACGTGAAGGAGGGATTGGAGCCCTGTGAAGTAGCCGCTCACCGGTTCCTCAGCTGCCCCGGGCGGGAGCGGGGTCAGCCGCGTGGCGTGCTGCTCTCGCGCCTCCTGGCCTGTCCGTCCTCCGCCTCCACTTGATGCCTCACTTAGCCTTGAGTCCTCCACAGGGTGGCGAGCTTGGGTGGTGTGAGCACCCGGAGGGTTAGTACCCGACCAGGACCACACGCTGGCGTGTTTCAGGTCCAGAAATTAATCTCGGGTTTTGCCTCCTGGTCCAGGGTTCTCCTACAAGACCACACCATAGCGCTTCTCAGTAAAATGTAGGGTTTCTTGGTTTGATTTTTAAAGGCTTTGTTCTTGAATGATGCTTTCATGTTTCAGGTAAAAAATGTATACAAGCCTGTTAGCCATTAAGAGACTTATAGAATGAATCACTTTGAGAATTAGTGTTATAATTTTATTTTCCTTTGTACTGTTTTGAAACCAGAAATGTGGGAATTAGACTTCCTGGGCGACAAACAAATCAAAGAGCAGAGATTCGTGTAAGTTATTGAATGTGTTTTTCTACCAAATGTGTCAGTTTATCGTTCTTGACTGTTGACTAGAACATATCAACAAACTCTCTACTCTCCGTGTATGTAAGATACTCAGAGTCCAGAAGTTTGGGGCAAGAACAGTCCTGATGAACAGGATATTTCTAGAAAAATAATAAAACTTGTTTCAAATAGATGTCTAAACAGGAGAATTGTATGTGTAGTATTATTTCACATAGACAATATTATCTTTCCAATTAGCACAGGAAAAGGAATTTAAATTTTTTGGTAATTTTGAACAACAGTGTCGAAAGTTGAATGGTCTTCTCAGCATGAAACTGGTGTGTTTCTTCCAGGCAGCCTGCAAAGCCATCGAGCAGGCTAAGGCTCAGGACATCACTAAGCTGGTTCTCTACACGGACAGTATGTTTACCATCAATGGTAAGCGGCTACGTTTGACTCCTAGGGCTTTTGGAATAATTATGCAGGGAAGTAGGTGTTTCCTTCCCTGGAGGAGGTGTGGTGTCAGGGCGGGACCCAGGCGGTAGGGGATGGCGCTGGTGTGTTGGGGGTGAAGGAGGCCCGCACTGGTCCGGGGTTGGCCCCAGAGGCTCGGCCGTGATGGGCATGTGCACTTCCTCTGGGAAGTTTTGCGCATGGGACCACGACTGCGAGGGGCTGGGGGGGTGTGGAGGAGGGGGCAGGAAGCGGGGCCTCAGCCCCAGAGCCGCAGGTTGTAGGTCGAGTGGAGGGGTGGAGGAGCCAGCGCCCGGCCCCGTGGGAAGGAAGGTCCAGACAGGGACTGGGATGCCAGCGGGGCGGCGGTCAGAGGGCCGTCTAGGGAGGAGGGAAGGGCGGTGCGTGCGGGAGGGACCTCTGAGCGTGCGTGTCGTCCAGGCATCACCAGCTGGGTGAGGGGCTGGAAGCGGAATGGCTGGAGGACCAGCACCGGGGAGGAGGTGACCAACAAGGAGGACTTCGCGGAGCTGGAGCGGCTGGCGCGGGGCATGGACATTCAGTGGGTGAGTGCTGGGCCGCGCGGACCAGGGGCATCCGTGAGCTGGAGCGGCAGGGTTTGGGGAGTGACGTGATGACCTGGGTCCAGGCGGCAGCGTGTGTGAGAGCGCCCCGTGAGGAGTGCTGCCGCTGTAGGCGGCCCCTGGCTTCTTTGGGAGCGGCCGTCCCATCAGCTAAACCAGTGTGTGATGTGTCTCGTTAAAAGCGTAGTTGCGTGCTGAAACTTTAGTAATGTGATTTTTTTTCTTATGCTAGGTCACTTTTATTAAAATTACCTTTTCTTTTTTTTTTTTTCACTTTTTGTTTTATATTGGAGTATAGCCGATTAACGATGGTGTGGTAATTTCAGGTGGACAGCAGCCTCGGCCCTGTATATACACTGGATGTATATATATCCATATCCAATGGAGAATATGTATACATTCTCCCCGAAAGTTAAAAGTCCAGTCACTTTCTTAACCCTACCTGGCTCTCCCAGCCCAGGACCCTCTTGACCATTCGGCAACCCGTTTGTCATTTAAACTTGCCTTTCAGGGACTTCCCTGGTGGTCGGGGAGTTAGGACTCCATGCTTTCACTGCTGAGGGCACGGGTTTGATCCCTGGTCGGGGAACTAAGTCTTGCAAGCCTTCAATTCAGCCAAAAAATAAAAAGTAAACTTGCCTTTCAGCAGCCTAAGTGCAAACAGTGGCTCAGTTACACAAGGGCACCCCTTCCGTGTAGCAGCCCTGAGGGAGAGTAAGGGGGGTGTGTGTGAGACATACATGCCATCCATGCCTCTACTCTGCCTGGAGAGCTCACCATTAAGTGGGAGAAAACCAGTACAGCGCTGAAGCCCAGTCTGAGAGAAACAGTGGGTCTCTCCCGGCGTGTCTGGTGCTCGAGTGCGGTGGGCACACGCCTTGGGCTGCTCCGAGCTGCGCTGAGGGGGCTGTGGGGGCCCCGCGCTCGCCCTCTCTGAGGGGTTGGCTCCTACTGCAGTGAGCGTGTTGTCATGTGCTGCTTGTGTAAAAAACTGGTAAGAATGAAAGGAAACTTTTTATTTAACAGATGCATGTTCCTGGCCATTCGGGATTCAGAGGCAACGAAGAGGCGGACAGATTGGCGAGAGAAGGCGCGAAGCAGCCCGCAGACTGAGCATGTGCTGTAGCTCCTGGAAACCCTAAGCCGTGGCCCATGTCCCCTTTACTTTCCAGGGTGAAGAATAAAGCTACAGGCTGGGCCCCACCGTCTGTGGGCAGACCCGCCTTTCAGACTGAACCCAGAAGGCGGGCTGGTGGTCTGTGGTGTGTGCAGTAAAGCCGGTCGGATGGTTCATAGATTGAACATCCATTCAGATTTGAGAATTTTGTGAGATCTTAGTATTATGCTTTATCGGGCTTGATACTGTTCTCATTAGCTGTATTGCAGTTTGGACAAAAATGTCAGGACAAGGTCAACACGGGTTTAAAAATGCAGGCGAGAAGTCTAGATGTTTTCTAAAAGCGTTCATTTGCCTTCCAGTCGGCAGGATGGAGTCAGGACTCTCAGGTGGACTTGTGCCTACGTGGGTTGGAGGAGGGTGCAGCCCCCCCCCCCGCCCCCCCAGGACCCAGGACCCATGCCCAGCCAAGGGGATGTGGCTGCGCCTGGTGGGCATGAGGGGGGGCCGCCTGCTCCCGCAGTCCCGGCTGTGTGCCCTCCAGGTAGCAGTGGTCACGGCATCTGAAGACCGGTTGTAAATGGATGCTGTTAAGGTGTCTTTGGTTATTTTTGTTAAAAGCACCTTGAAAATGAAAAACTTTAATGTTTTTTTCTTCTATTACAAATATTGTCATAAAAGCATGCAAAAATGATAAAAAATAAATGGACAGCTTATCGGATTACTGTTACTACTACTACAAACATCGTTACCATTATGACGATTACTGCAAGGTGAACACCCTTGTGACCACCCCCCTGGGCCAAGAAAGAAAACCCGGCCTGGCGCCTCCACACACAGCACCCCCCTGGCCTCCCCGAACCAACCCCACTTCTACAGAGGCGACTTCCTGCTTTTCTCCGTGGCAGTTTAGTCTGCTAATTCTTTACCTTGATGTTTCTTTTTTTTAAAAATTTATTTGTAACTGGAGGCTAATTGCTTTACAACATTATGTTGGTTTCTGCCCCACAACATAGGAATCTGCCTTTAGTATACATATGTCCCCTCCCTCTTGAACCTCCCCTACCCCCTAACTTGACATTTCTTAAGTTTCTTTAATTCACAGGTTCTGCCGCAATCCATCGGTCTCCCTACAGCTTCTCTGTTAAAGAGCCTGAGCAATCTGCCCTGCCAGTTCCCACTCTGAGATCTGTAACTTCCCATCTTGGGCCGTCCAGAGTGTTCCTGCACCTCTGTTGCCTACAGGTTGGCAGCGGGGTCCGGAGGCCTGGTCGCCACGGGCTCCTCCCGTGGGCATGTGTGTCCCGGGCGCTCATCAAAAGGTGGCGGCGGCTACGACCTTCCCGCACGGGCAGCTGCGGCGCTCAGGGCCCGGGTCTGTTAAATCTCGCAGGTGGCAGAAGGCTGATACCCTGTCATTCTGCTTGTTTATTAGCTGGAATGGTTTCAGAAGCTCCTTCCCCTCATCTGATTTTGGCTCCAGGGGGTAGAGGTCACATACGAAAGGCAGGATAAGTGCTAAGATTGGCTCCCTGTCATCCGAGAAGGTGACCAATTAGGGGTTGTTCTCTTTGTGTTTCTATAATGTGTAAAGACACGTATTGCTCATGAACTCACGTACTTAAGCCGCCTCGATGGACTTCCGTCCAGGCACCCAGCCTGCAGCTGGGGGGAGCCTTTCAGTTGGCTCTCGATTGCTCTTCATGTTCACGTGCGTACATTTCCTGCTGGTCCGTCTCCAGCTGCAATCTGAGTTTCCTGTTTGGGGGAGATTTTACGTTTTTGTGTCTGTATCGAGGGCCTCAGTTGCTGCTGTGTTCCCTCTGGGGTTTAGATGTGTCCACCGGGCGTGCCCTGCCAGCATCTCCTGGATTAGGGTCGTGGGGGCTGAGGGCCCCCGGGGAAGTCAGTCCAGGCACCACTGCAGTTTAGCAGCTTCAAGAAATCAGGGTCTTACAGTCAGGGATGTGTTGCTCTTTAGCAGTATTTTAACTCCTCAGGGCCTGAGAATTAGCTGCATTATTTTGGCTGGGGTGGGGGGGGTCTTAATTTGTTGGCATAGGTGACTCGATCCACAGGCAGTGTCTTAGGTCTGGGGTGCTGACATCCTGCCACGGTGCACCCTGCCCTGAGTTTGGAGGGGCTTCAGGTAGAAAACAGACCCACCTTCTGCATGTCTAGTGGAGGGCGTGGGGTCCTGAGAGCCCAGGCAGGGGACGTTGGTTGACATCTGGGAAGGGTGGTGGGGCTGGCGGACATGCAGGAGAACTACCCCATTCGGGACAAGACGAGACGGTGCTGCGGGGAGCACGGCAGCTCAGTCAGGGCACAGAGCACTTCCTGGACAAACCTGTCCAGTCATCAGGGCCCAACTGGAGGATGCTGAGCTGCTTGCGAGCATGGAGGCTGAATCATGCCCCCAGCACAGGGTATGACTGGGTTTGGATGCTGAGCCTTTCCTGAGGTGGTTGCATTAAAATGAGGCTGTTTGGGTGGCCCTAGTCCACTCAGGACCCTGGGGACACCTGCAGAGGGAGGGCCACGTGAGCACATGCGGGACGGAGGCCGTCTGCAGGGCAAGGAGGGAGGCCTCTGGGAAGCCAGCTCTGCTGACATCGTCATCTTTGAGCCCAGCTCCAGGACCAAAAGGACAAAATTCTGTCTCAGACCCAAGGCTGCAGTGTGTTGCTCTGGACGCCCGAGCAGACGGAACAGTTCTGTACATGGAAGTTTGGAAGGTTTCCAACTAGAAATGGTGACCACAGGCCGAGGGGTTACGATGACAGCTAAAGACTTTCAAGGTTGTTGGCTAAACTCTTCTTTGTAATTCTTCTCAGGTAACTTGTCATGTATGTTTAATACGAACACATGCAAATAGAATATAAATATTAAGGAAGGACTTCCCTGCTGGTGCAGTGGGTAAGAATCCACCTGCCAGTGCAGGAGACACGGGTTTGATCCCTGGTCTTGGAAAATCCCACGTGCCTTGGAGCAGCCAAGCGCATGCACCACAGCTACTCAGCCAGCACCCTAGAGCCTGGGAACCGGAGCCCCCACTCCCTGCAAGCAGAGAGCCTGCGTGCAGCAACAAAGACCTAGTGTAGTCATGAGTTAATTAATTTACAAACAGACTAAGGAAGAATCGCCTCACCTGTCAGAATGGCAGCCAGCAGACAACTGTCAGGATGCAGAAACACGGGGCCCCTCACACACTGTTGGTGGGAATGTCAATTAGTACAGCTACTGTATGCACCTGTATGGAAAACACTATGGCAGTTTCTCAGCTAAAAATAGAACTATCCTATTACCCAACAATTCCACTCCTGGGTGTTTATCCAAAAAACAAAAGAATTTGAAAAGATAACGTGTGCTGCTATGTTCATCAGTTCAGTTCAGCTGCTCAGTCCTGTCTGACTTTTTGCGACCCCATGGACTGCAGCACTCCAGGCCTCCCAGTCCATCACCAACTACAGAGCTTGTTCAAACTCATGTCCATTGAGTTGGTGATGCCATCCAACCAGCCCATCCTCTATCGTCCCCTTCTCCTCCTGCCCTCGATCTCTCCCAGCATCAGGATCCTTCCCAATGAGTCAGTTTTTTGCATCAGGTGGCCAAAGTATTGGAGTTTCAGCATCAGTCCTTCCAATGAATATTCAGGACTGATCTTTAGGATGGACTGGTTGGATCTCCTTGCAGTCCAAGGGACTCTCAAGAGTCTTCACCAACACTACAGTTCAAAACCATCAATTCTTTGGCACTCAGCTTTCTCACATCCATACATGACCACTGGAAAAACCTTTGTTGGCAAAGTAATGTCTCTGCTTTTTAATATGCTGTCTACGTTGCTCATAGCATTTCTTCCAAGGAGCAAGTATCTTTTAATTTCATGGCTACAGTCACCATCTGCAGTGATTTTGGAGCCCCCCAAAATAAAATCTGTCACTGTTTCTGTTGTTTCCCCATCTATTTGCCATGAAGTGATGGGACTGGGTGCCATGAACTTAGTTTTCTGAATGTTGAGTTTTAAGCCAACTTTTTCACTCTATCACTTTCATCAAGAGTCTCTGTAGTTCCTTTTCGCTTTCTGTCATAAAAGTGATGTCATCTGCATATCTGAGGTTATTTCTCCTGGCAGTCTTGATTCCAGCTTGTGCTTCATCCAACTCAGCATTTTGCATGATGCACTCTGCATATAAGTTAAATAAACAGGATGACAATATACAGCCTTGACGTACTCCTTTTCCAATTTGGAGCCAGTCCATTGTTCAATGTCTGGTTCTAACTGTTGCTTCCTGACCTGCATACAGGTTTCTCAGGAGGCAGGTCAGGTGCTCTGGTGTTCCCATCTCCTGAAGAATTTTCTACATTTTGCTGTGAGCCACACAGTCAATGGCTTTAGCACAGTCAACGAAGCAGAAGTAAACGTTCTGGAATTCTCTTTTTCAATGATCCAGGGGATGTTGGCAATGTGATCTCTGGTTCTTCTGCCTTTTCTAAATCCAGCTTGAATATCTGGAAGTTAACAGTTCATGTACTCTTGGAACCTGGCTTGGAGAATTTTGAGAATTACTTTGCTAGCATGTGAGATGGGTGCGATTCTGTGATAGTTTGAACGTTCTTTGGCATTTCCTTTTGAGATTGGAATGAAAACTGACCTTTTCCAGTCCTGTGGCCACTGCTGAGTTTTCCAAATAAGCTGGCATAGTCCAGCGCTTTCACAACAGCATCTTTTAGGATTTGAAATAGCTCAACTGGAATTCCATCACCTCCACTAGCTTTGTTCGTAGTGATGCTTCCTAAGGCCCGCTTGACTTCACATTCCAGGATGTCTGGTTGTAGGTGAGTGATCACACTCATCGTGATTATCTGGGTCATGAAGATCTGTTTTGTACACTTCTATGTATTCTTGCCACCTCTTCTTAATATCTTCTGCTTCTGTTAGGTCCATACCATTTCTGTCCTTTATTGTGTCCATCTTTGCATGAAATGTTCCCTT